GGTAAGATATGGAGGCAGTGACAGATTTTATTTTCTTGGGCTCCATGATCACTGCAGATGGTGACAGCAGCAATGAAATTAAAAGACACCTCCTTCTTGGGAGGAAAGCGATGCCAAACCTAGACAGCATCTTAAAAAGCAGAGACATCACCTTGCCAACAAAGGTCCGTATAGTTAAAGCTATGGTTTTTCCAGTAGCGATGTATGGAAGTGAGAGCTGGACCATAAAGAAGGCTGACCGCCGAAGCATTGATGCTTTCGAAATGTGGTGCTGGAGGAGACTCTTGAGAGTCCCCTGGACTGCAAAGAGAACTAACCAATCCATTTTGGAGGAAATCAACCCTGCGTGCTCACTGGAAGGACAGATCCTGAAGCTGAGGTTCCAATACTTTAGCCATCTCATGAGAAGAGAAGACTCCCTGGAAAAGAACCTGATGTTGGAAAATTGTGAAGGCAAGAGGAGAAGGGGACGACAGAAAATGAGATGGTTGGACAGTGTCGCCACAGCTACCAAGATGAATTGGATCAAACTCCGGGAGGCAGTGAAAGACAGGAAGGCCTGTCATGCTCTGGTCCATGGGGTCACGAAGAGTCGGACACGACTTAATGACTAAACAACAAATATTTGATATAGTCAAGTTAAGATAAGGCTTCATCCATTTGGCTACAATAGGCTTAATAAAGTATTTTTTTTAAAATTACATGATAAACATGTTGGTGCAACTAATTCAAATCAAAGGTCCATTATGGAAACACATTGTAAGTTACATATTTTGACAAATTTCTTTCTGCAAATTTTCCCTCAACTATTTGCACCAAAAATGCAGAGATAATGAAAATACTTCAAAGAAGCAATGAAAATAAGAACATTAAGAGGAATGGGATGAAGCAAAGAAATTTCATGTATCTGAAAGAAGGGGGTGACAGTTCATTAAAGGGTAGGCCACATAAGACTGTATGTCTTTAATGGGCCACAAGACTTTTCATGGTGTCTGCTGTAATAAACAAAAAAAAAGTTAAACAGCCAAAAAGTTACAACCAATTGTACTGATATTGAATCTATTAATTTCTGGGGAATGACACTAGCCATATACCTCGATTCGCCGTTTTGCTTTATCATAAGAACGTTCTTCTTTAGTACGATCATCATCAGAATCATATTCTGAATCAGAACTGATTCCTTTGTTTAGCTTTCTCTCTGCACTTGGTTTCCCAGCAGCTTGAGGCTCTATTTCTTTTTCATCTGAAGTCTTTTCATCTTCACTTCCCTCACTCTCCCCATCTTCATACTCCTCACTCTCCTCCTCCTCCTCTTCCTCCTCCTCTTCCTCCTCCTCCTCTTCATCATCCTCATTTTGTTCTTTGACTTCAATGTGGACAGTTTGCCTCTCTAAGAAGAGATATAAAAGATAAATAATCCTGAGCATAATAATATACAAGCATAACAGTCCCCAGTATTAAAATAAAACACAAGCATAGATATGAGCAGTCTTGCTCCCCTTGAGTCACTATGTTGATAAAAGGGATCCAGTACATGCCAAAGTCCATATATATTTTACTCCATGCTCCACTGTACATTTTTGTAATGTAGAGGTTTTGATTCACAACAAAAACACTGTCAGTATTTCACAGACCATGCTTCGTAAGCAGAGATGGGATTTCATGTTTTAATGACAAGGGAGAAAAACATGAAATGTGCTTTCTTGGTCCTTGTATTCCTTTCATTAACTCCTGAAAGAGAGTTTCTAAAACACAAATCTCTGTATTAACGAAAGAGGCAAATACAAATGTTTCATGTTCATTTGTGTCTCCCTCTTTCACAAGAACTTTTTTCACCTTTAGTATTCAAATATTTATTTCGCCCTGTAACCTTTCTTTTATCTGCTATATGTGCCAGGTAAATTTTCAGCAAATATTTATTTCGCCCTGTAACCTTTCTTTCATCTACTATATGTGCCTGGTAAATTTTCAGCAAACACTACTGAGAGGGCTATTGCAAAGACATGATGGTGTGACCAACAAGGGCTATCAGTAACCAATGGGAGTGTCTGGGGAGAAAGAGGAATGCTGAATTTACAAAAGGGCCTGGAAATCAATGACTATCTACCATGTTCTTATGTTAACATACTAAATCAGGGAGTCTCCCCTCCAAACCCCATGGGCTTTTGCTGCCTGCTTTTGTTTCACAGGGTTGTTATTGTGTGTTTGTTTTTGCCTTTCAGGAGATGCTTTCCCAATTTCTTCCCATTATTTTTGCTGCTGACAGGCAGCCTGCCTGTGCCAGCTTGCCTCCTTGGATCTTTATTTTTTAATTTCTTGTTCTTGACTTCTTCAAGGATTCTTCCCCTCTCTGATTTTTTTTTAAAGTTCCGGGTGGTATTTTTTTTAAATTGTTACCACTGTCTATTTCATGTAAAACAGAAGTGCATGAAAAATACAAAAATGAAAGAAGTACCTTCCTAAAGGAGCCCAACATAAAACGAAACATTTTCCCCAATGCACATTACTACCAACAAGTTCTCTCCCCCGCTCCCCGCCAAGTTCTGTAGTTATCTAAATTCTTTTAAATTACCAAGTATAACTAGTTTTAACCTTATTTTTAGCTGGTGTTTGCATGCCTTTAATTTGTGGGGCATGAATACTAAAACAATGACCAATGTAAAACCTGTAATCACAGAAACAATTTGGCACACAGCAGTTTAAAGCATAGGGTCAAACCCTCCTACTCCTACTCTGCACTGTCTGCTTACTTAGTCTTTACCAACTGAAAAACAAGCTGCAATACCTGGAAAAAAGAGAGAGTGAGTCAGTCTGTGACAAAACAAAAAAAGTTGCTTTTTAAAAAGACACTCACTCTTCTCTCTCTCTTCATCACTGACCATGGCTTCCCAGTCATCTAATCCTGTATCTTCAGGCTCCTCTTCCTCTTTTTCTTCTGCAACTAGATAGTGACAGGATTAGTTCCTCAAATATAAAAATGTAATTTATATAAACAACCTCTCAACATGACGACACACATGGTATGAAGTAGGGCGGAAAATGAATTAGCGACATTTCTTACTACCTAAAGACAGAATGTGAGTAGCTTCTGAGACCGCTTTCAAAATTTCTTGAGTTGATCTCACATTCAGTCAAATGAAAAAGGCTCCTCAGAGAGCTGGTTTTATTATTCAGATACATAATCAGAGTAGACTATGTCTAGATGGGCAGCACATAAATGCAATAAATAAATAAATAAATAAGTAAATAAGTAAATAAATAAATAAATAAACAAACAAACAAACAAACAAACAAACAAACAGCTATATGGGCTTTCTAATTTACTACTGACCTTGTTCTGCTGGAAGGGTAGCTTCTTCTTTTACGGGTGCAACTTGTTCTACAGCTTCCTCAGTTGGAGACACCAACTCTATAACTTCTAAAATTGCAAGAAATAATTACCACAGGTCTGGTAAAAAGCATATATAAAAAGCAGCATGGTCCATTTTAAATGTATTTATCCAGAATTAGGATAATGTAAATGCAACAACATTAAAGAGTCTAGTATATACATCATAAGATACAAGCTTCCACATCTATTAGACCAAATGTATCAACTGTTATCGTAAGATCGTAAGTACACATAATGAGGGTGAGAGCAATGAGTGTAAAGGAAATGAAATTCACAACTCAGACTGTGACAACCGAGATTTCTTCCAAATCTCATATAGCCCTTTTATTAATATTTCACATCCAACAGATCATCATTCATTATTGCTGCAAAAAAGGGGTGTTATGGGGAGTATTCTGCTCCAAAATCCCACTTAAAAATTCAAATTCCCCACAGAGAGCAAGAATGCTCTCCCAGTGATTATATTGTCAGTGATGCTCTAACCCACACTACACTTTCCTGCAAAATGCAGGCAAGATTAACTGAGTTGCAGGTGTGTTTGCCATGATTTCATTATGCTAATGTTTTAGAATAACTGAAAAAGATTTTGTACACCATGAAATCAACCAACTATAGATTTCTGCATGACAACCACAGTGGTCCATGGGCAAAGAAAACTGCACTGATAAGGGGAGGGAAGATTGGTAAGTCAGTATTAGTTTGTTTTCTAACAAGAAATAAATAAAACCATTCCCATCCTGGCCCCTAGTTGCCTTCTTACAAGACATAATAGTATATGGAAAACTTCTAGCTTGCTTTATTTTCCTAACTGCAAAGCCAAAGCTCAGTAGTTCAATTCTCCACTGTGCCTCTTGGCAGAAGAATCACCCTGTGCAGCCTAGGACAAACCACACCACCCCCAAGCACCCCCAGAAGAACAGTAAATCATTTCTAAATACTTTATACCTAGAAAACCCTGGAAAGGATCACCATAAGACAGAATAAATGTGAAAGTATGTTTTTTTGTTGTTGTTATGCAGAGAAAAAAAAGAAGGAATGAACAGTGTGTAATTACAGTAGAGATTGGCATGAACTTTGGTTTGGAGGTTTGTGCCAGTTCATCAGTGTGCACCACAGGTGCTGCACATTCCTGCTTCCCCTCCCCCTCCCCCAGCCAATTCACCGACTCACCACCCAGCATGCACTCCTCACTCAGGCAAAGAGGCAGGGCAGGGATTCCTGCAGCACTGCTTTTGAGTGGGCAGCTGCTGGAGGAGGCAGAGGAAGGAAGTACATGCACCTGCTGCAACTGAACAATCACACAAAGAGGGGGAGAAGAACAGTACATGCCAGCTGGTGAGTGGGACAGCCAGCTTGGGGGGGGGTGGAGGAAGGGAACACGTAGCAATTATGGTGCCACATCAACGAACCAGCATGAACCTCCAAACAGAGGTTTGTGCCCATCTCTAGTAATTAGCATTCCCAATCTTTTTTTCTCCAGTCCTAGAAACAGCTGAGAAGTGTGAAATTACGTTCTTTCACTATGCCAGGAGAAAACAGCTGAGTTCAAAGGTACCATATTTGCCAGCATACAAGGCGACCGGCCGTATAAGACAACCCCCCCAACAGGAAGAGCCTGGGCGGGTGGAGGCAGGAGGAGGAGGAGGAGGAGGAAGAGGAAGAGGGGAAGGGGGGGGTGGCGGGCGAGCGAGCACGCTGGCTCATCAGCGGGAGGGCGAGGAAGAGGGCAAGAGGCTGAGCGGGCGGCGGCAGGAGGAGGAGGAGGAAGAAGAAGAGGGGAAAACGGGCGGGTGGAGAGCGAGTGAACGCGCCGCTGGCTTAGCGGCGCAGGGCAGCCCAGCGGCAGGCTCTGGCCGAGGGCGAGGGCAAGAGGCTGAGTGGGTGGCGGCAGGAGGAGGAGGAGGAAAAGGGAAACGGGCGAGCGAGCGCGCCGCTGGCTCAGCAGCGTGGGGTGGTGGGCAGCCCGGCGGCAGCCTCTGGCCACTCAGGCATGGCAGGCTGTGCTTCCCTCCCTCCATCCATCCAAACCAACTGCCTGCCTGCCTGTCTGCCTTCCTCCCCGGCCAGCGCAGCCCCGCGTCACTCACTCAACGGCGGCGGCTCCTTCCTGGCCCAAATGAAGTGCACCCAGCATACAAGACGACCCCCCCCCACTTGGAGGCATGTTTTTTGGGCCCAAAAAGTCGTCTTATACGCCGGCATATACAGTACATTTTGCTAAATAAGTAAGATCTAGATGAATCTCCCTATTCTCACTTAGAAATGTATACCAAACTAAGTACTCTGAACAAGGGAAAATTTAAAACCTTTCCCCATGGTGTGTGTTTTTCACTTTTCTCTAAAACCTGTCCCTTGCTCATGTTCAAGCCTGAAAAAAATTGTTCAGACTCTGCTACCACCAGAGAAGCATTTTCCTTCTTTAGGCTTCCAGGAGAAAGCACAGGTAAGAAAGAAATAAGGCACTCATGGAAAGTGGAATTTAAATCTTACCAAACCATATGCAGATTCGGAGCTCCCGATTATAAGTTAAAAAGGAGGCTCAGATGCACAACAGATATTTAATGCGGTGTGTAATTTAGGAATGAGTGACAGGCAGAAATTTAGTAGGTGCCATTTCCTGCAGCAACTGGAGAGGAGAACTACACTCACTGCCTATCATGCAGCTAAAATACATATGTTAATTCAGATTATAAAGTCTAATTTGATTATATACTCAATGTTCTAAAGAGCCAGTCATAAGTTCAGTTATCTGCCACCTTCTGCCTCACAGATACCCTGTAATATTATTTTTCTATTTAACGGAAGAGTTTATTTAAGAATGCACAACTTCCATATACTAGAGCCTATTTGAGCAAATGTATCATGCATAATAGATATACTTGATACATTTGTTTCAGAGTGTAACAGATAGAAAGGACTTACATGATCTTTGATTTTATTTTTTCTAATCATCTTCATTTGCATTCTGACAATACTCTCACCTTCTTTGTTTTCCTGTTGCTGCTGCTGTTTCTTCTTCTTTTTGTCTTCATATATTGGTCTTTTCTTTGGCACAGAATCTTTGGATGGCACTTCAACACCTGTCAAATGATGACAAAAACATTCAACAAAGCAATGAAAGCACCACAAGATTGCACATTGATGACACAGTACAAAGTTAAACATCTTGACACAACAAAGCCAAAGCACTAAACTAAGCTAAGAGAGAATGCAACTAACTATGAACTACCATGGCTCTAACATTCATCGTCGTCTTGTAAAAAAACGGTCCGCGAAGCATATGCAACTAACTATGAACTACCATGGCTCTACCATTCAGAGCTTGGAAGCATTAACTTTTTGGACAACCAGAATCCCCAAGCCAGCAAGCTGGCTGGGGACGTGCCATTCATTCGTTTCCTTGCTTTTGGTTTTTGGGCTCAGTTTTCCAGAATTCTCCAATTATCCTCCAGGAAGAATTCTGGGAGTTCCAGCTCACTGACCCTCACCGACCAACACCTACATTTTGCTCACTTGGACTATGGTCTATCCCCAAGCTGGGATTCCCAAAATTCTGCCTGTGGAATTCTTGGAGAATTATAGGAAGTGGGGTGAAAAAAAGGCTCATCCATGGCTAGTGGTCACATTTGCTGTAGGATTCTGGGAGTTACAAAAAGTTTCCAAGCTCTCTTGAAATGTTTATTGGCCATTAGGAGTGGTGCTGTTTTTATAATGAACAAGATTAATGTCACTGTGAAACAAAGAGCCTCAGAAAACATTTAAATACAAATTCAACTCACGAATATCAACTTCAAATCCTACATGATTCTTCTGTGTGGCAGGATAGACACTTAAAAAGTTTAAATGGCATTTAAAAAGGAAATCCCCTTTTTTTCTACATTTTAATTTCATTCAAGCTCATATTGTATTTTTCACACAGACTACTTATTTTTCTGATTAATTCAAATCAATTACTCTTAAGGACAGTGTATCTGTAGGCTGAGATCACTGAAACAAATCAGGAAGATACAGCTAATTTTTCATGTTGGCTTCTGAATAATTTCTTGTTTGAAAGCCATTATTCATTCTACCCAAGTCATAAACAACTGGAAGCTGTGATATACTTCTACGTACTGTGAGCTGCAGAACGGGAAGAGCACAGTGGTAGCAAATAGTCTGCATATGGATGCAGGGAGTTGACATATACAGTGGTGCCCCGCATGACGACGATAATCCATCCCATTGAAATCGCTGTTTAGCGAAATCATCATCTTGTGAAAACCGTTTCCCCATTGGAATGCATTGAAACCCGTTTAATGCGTTCCAATGGGGGAAAATCATCGTCGTTTTGCAAAGATCGCCCATAGGGCAGCCATTTTGCGAAGCACCGATCAGCTGTTAAAATGGCTGTCCTGCAAAGCATTGGTCCCAAAAACATAGGGAAGCCATTTTGTGAAGTGCCAATCAGCTGTAAAAATCGTCGTCTTGTAAAAAAATGGTCCGCGATGCATAGACCAAATCATCATCCAGCAAAAATCGCCCATTGGAATCACTGTTTTGCGAATCACTATGGCGACTGCAAAATCTCATCCTCATGCAGATTCGTCGTTTTGTGAAGTTGTCGTCTAGCAAGGTACCACTGCACATAGATATATTATTCCAAGACTTCATTATCCAAACCAAACCAGAAACATTTGAGGTGATGGTTTGACCCTAAAAATATTTACTATGGAGGAGGGCTTTATGAATTAGTTTCTGTCCCGTCCTTTTCAATTTCACA